AAGTTTCATCAAAATCAAAAAATATGTGGTTAAAATTTTCAGATTTTTTGGGTGATTTGACATGGAATGACCCAACATGCATGTATGTTAATAATTATTGTAGATTTTTCCAGATTTTGGTAATCACTGTGCTTAAGTTTGTATTTTTCTAATGATTTTAACACAACAATTAACTTAAAAGTTTAATGGAATTTCAAATGTAAAATTTGTAGTAAAGTTTTAATACATTTAATAATATTAATAGTATTTGTCTAATATTTTAGTATTCTAAATTTATTTAAATTTCTAAAAGGACATTATTCCTACTTCCTTTAACAATGATTTAATAATAATAGTTTGAATGTAAAAAATCATATCCATCAATAAATGTAAGTTAGATCATACTATTTTATCTTTTTATCTGTTTGATTCGGAAACTGACATGCACAGTAATTAACTGAATTACATTAAAGAAGATTACAACTGTATGTAATAATATAGGCCTACTATACATCATAAAAAATATTTACTACAATAATAAATTAGATGAAACACTATTCACTATAAAATAATTTCCCATTTAAAGGCTTTTGTAGTTTTCATTTGCTGAAAAGTTTTAATACATTAGTAACATTTTCTTTCTCTCTTGGTATGGTATTTGTCTAATATTATAGTATTCACAAGGAAATATACTGGTTTTACTACAATTCAATGAAAACAGATAAAAAGAATATAAAATAGTAAGATCTTATTAAGCTACATTCATTAATGGATGACTTTCTACATTTAAATTAGGGATATGTCCTTTTAGAAATTATATAAATTTAGAATACTAAAATATTAGACAAATACTATAAAGATAAAAAATATTATTAAATGTATTAAAACTTTACTACACATTTTACATTTGAATTTCCATAAACTTTGAAGTTAATTGTTGTGTTAAAATCATTAAAAAAATACAAACTTTAAGCACATTGATTACTGAGATCTACAATGATTATTAAATACATGCATGTTGTCAAAAGAGTTGAATTAATTAAAGGCGTATAATAGGAAGTCACAGTGAAATCTATCCTATTGTGAAGCTGATAAAAACAGGCCCACCCAACATTGTCCACTCTACATTAACAATGGTATATTCCATTTTGGGTGGTTTTCGTCCAGGTGGTTATTGTCCTTGGTGGTTTATGTCTGACTTCCATTTTGACCAGTATACCCGGGTAACCCTAACCCCTACTTGAAAGAAGTACTAGCTTCCTTTTTGTAGTGCACTGGGCCTACGGTTTAATATAGTCCTTACCCAAGGAGAACCATAGGCAAGCTTACCGTTCGAACCAGTGCCGGAACCAGATTTTTTTTTATATCTAAAAACTGGGGGAAAAGAGGCGTAACCACCTTTTTCCCCCCAGTTTTTAAATATCAAAAAATCTGTATCTCATTAATCGATCCTGAGTTTTTCGTCAAATATGTTTTTTGTGTCTGAGAAATTCTGTATCAGTTGTTTAACATATCCACAATTTTATTTTCGAAGCCTGACATTAAAGTTGCTCTATTGAGTACCATTCCAATAAGACTTTATTTTGGTGGTCCATAATTTTTGCTGTAGTTTATTTATTTCAGTAAAGGATGAATTAGCATCATTGTTTCTTTTTCTTTTCAGTGGAATTAGGAGGAGAAGCCTGAAAAACCCAAATCCACCAAGAGATCGGGACTATCTCTGATTGAGATCAACTTCTTGACTAATTGTGTTAGTTTTATCAGAAAGAAATGCAGTAGCCCTTTATTTTAGTTTGAATGTACCTTTTACAGAAAATGACAACACATATCATTAAAAAATACCCTTTGATGCTCTATATATCAAGTCGCATTATGAGGCTTAGGGACTGGAGTTGTTAGTTGTAATAAAAGATTCTGGTGTTTTAGTAGAATGTGAGGGCTGGAGACAGTACTGCTATACCTCATTGGTACCCACAGCTTATGTAACATGTTTTGAGAAAATTATGAGGCGTAGGTCATATAAAATGTTGTAGCCATGATCAGACAAAAGTTCAGAACGTTAAATTAATGTGCAAAGTACTATTGACATAGCTCATACAAAATGGAGATGTGTCTAAAATTTGAAATGGATTGGTGGCAGTTGAATATGCTGCCTATACAAATAGGAAAATAGTCATTTGGACTCTTGTATAAAGTGGCGTATGAGGAGTGGTGCCAGGATTTGCCAATCAGGGTCCACTGTGTATTGACCCTTGACTGGAGGAGACGGGGTGGGCGTTGCTCAAAATATTTCCCAAAAATGGTCCAGGGGTCGCGGCCTCTCAAAAATTTGACAATTTAGGGATTTCAAAGGCTTATTTAATCAGTTTTAGAGTATATAGTATAATTATGTACAAAATAAATTTTTTCTCCCTGACAAATAGTGAATTTTCTCCCCGACCGGGTTGGGGGGGGGGGTGCAATTCTCTCAGACACTAGGCTCCCGGCGCCACCCCTGTTATATTACTGAATAGCTACAAATTTGGTAGCTAATAAAAGACTTGGGTACTGTATATAGTATAGAACTAGTGTGTAGGAACCAGGAACTGAATAAATAAAACAGAAAATATTTTAACTCTGATTTTTGTGACAGACATTATCTTCTAAGTTGAATGGATACAATTTAAAAGCAGGGCCTAATTATATTTGATATATTTTGTAATGCCTATATTATAAATATTTGCAAAGTATTTTTGACCTTTGTAGTCCTCTTCTGACTGAAAATTCTCTATCTACAGTACTTAAAATATAATTTATGGATTTTTCGTAGTACATTAGCGCATTTCGGAAAGCGCCACCAGCGTCAGTTTATGTTGAGAAACTTTTTTGATGAGAATTAATCCCAGAAAAAGTATACTATGGAACGCCGTGTGTGCCAAAATCGATTTATTCTTAAGCATTTCAACTGATTAAGACGAAGATTAGGGACTGGAACCCAGTCTAACCAACTTGCTGCACTAACACTGTGAATATGTCGTTTCATAAAGTGTTGTCTGATAAGATCAAACGATTCGTACACACTGATGTGAAAAGATTCGTGTGGACAGGGACTGTGACTTTTCAAATGGTGTGGACCTGAAATGCATGTATGCTCAAGGGAAAAATATGCAAATCTTAAATGCATTTTCGAGCATTGAGGAAATAAAATTTCACGTGGGAAAAGGCTGTAGGGGATCTAGACACATACTCCTCCTTAGGGGTGGAATATTTGAAAGTCTCCCGCCTGCAAATATGCGGAATCTCTGGAATAATATGGGAAATTTGCATTGCAATAGCATTACTTGTAAACAAAAGACTTAAATTTCGACCATATTTTTCGACCAAATTGGAATGCATTTTTTTTTCAGTAATAACAAACCCATGCTTTTTGTAAATTTTTATCAATTTTTATTTGTGCTCGGCACAAAAAAAAAACATCAGTTTTGCTACAGAACTTCTATGAAATCCCTCTGTATCAAAATAACATCAATTTTGCTTCAGAGATTTCACAGATACAGTAAGTAGTTGTAAAAGATTTGATGACTAAAATTATAAAAAGTTCGTCAATTTTACATTTTTATTTAAACGCCTATTGACTTTTCTCCTATAGGATTGCTTGTCAAATTTCTTCTGACGAAAAGTATGCTTGTAGTGGTATGTGAGGTTTGTGGCGAGCTTAAAACACATTATTAGAACATAATGATTCTAACTGCAACCAACTTCGTTTGCTGAAGTATTTTATTAGACCAAGAATAGAAAATATATGAAAGTGCTCATATTTTTGTTTCAAATTGCCTATTTATGATGTTAAGACATGATTATAGGCCAGTTTTTATGTTAGAAACATTATTGAAACAGATTAATATCAAATAATTTAGAATTACAGTAAATCAATTCTTGAGAATTCTAAGTTTGCCCTCATTGTAATCATTAATAACGAATTTTAGTTCATTTACATTTCCCATCACCAGACATTTCACAGAAAGTTATAAAAGTATATCTTATAAGAAGAATAATAATGTACGTGTATATATAATTTTGCTGGGCATTAGCGATTGTGAGCGACATGGCTCTAGTTATGAGCTTTCTTAGCCATAGCTCTCTTCTTGGCCAGTGCCTTCATGATGGCAGCCTTCTTCGCCATCATCTTATTTCTTTTCTGAGTCTTGAAGCCTTAAAAAAAAGCAAAAAAATCACGAAATATGTTTAAATAAATGTATAAAATTATATCAGCTAATTAACGTACTAAACGTGTTTAAAAATGTATATAGTAAGTAACAATATAGGCCCAAATATAAATAGTTTATAAGCGGAAGAAAGATTATTTTCAACCAATGAGAGTTAAATATCTACTTATATCTATTCTTTTATAAAGTTGTGTATTAGTTTTATATATTTTTTATATGCAAACAAATTTATCTGGTTTGTTTACTTTATAATATACTTTATTTATTACTGTTAGTTTCATTATTATTATTTATTATTATTATTATTATTATTATTATTAACTATAACACCGGAGGCTATCAACAGACCAGCATTTTTACATAATAGTAGATTAAGTATTATATATTAACATTTATAACATGTATTTAGAATAACATACGCATGTGTAAATATAATAATAGTATAATATCAATGGTTCTAAGAAACAGTGATATAAAATAATGCATTTGATTTGATACCTTTTACCGACGTATTTATTTCAATAAAGGTATATTTGTAGGAGTATTCTCTGCCTCATTTACAATCTATATCCCTAAAATATTTCAATATTAATATTGTATATTTCAACTTTTGATAATTTTAACCCTGTAATTATATTTGTGTAATCCTTTACACATTGTAAACATAACAACAGTTTTATATTTATCGACATATATTATCAATTTTTAGCCTAATACGTAACATATTTTAAGTATATTTAAATTATTAATTGTAAAAGTTAATGTAATTGCTGCATCTGAAATATATACTTCAGACACGTGATAACATGAATAACCATTAAACTAATAGGTTAACATCATCATTATTCATTAATCTTTTTGATATGTAAATATTTCTTTTTGTTTATCACTACTTAATATTTAGGTTTTATTGTTTGTTCAGTTATGCAGTAAAGAAATGTAAACTTGGAGATTAACATCGACGACTCGAATTTATTGTAATAAATTTATTATAAAAATTCACATCACGAGGGCTTTTTGATAGTCGAGAATAACAATAGAATACCCGTCGTATACTCAGCGTTATGCAAGTCTTGGAAATACTCAAGCAACTGGGTCAAACAGGACCGACGAGATCGAAAACAATGTTGATTAATACTTAATAAGTGGTTTGTCTCTAGATTATTAACAATCGTGTTTTGGATTATTTTCTAAATGCATTTTCCAAGCAAATGGGGCGGTAATTTGAGACCAATGACCTAATTATTTGGTAGTGCGAGTAGTGATTGATAACATTTAGCCTTTTTACATGCCACTCATTTGTATATGAACTAGAGATCGATAATATATTTACTATGGTAATCTGAAATGATAATGTAAGCCTACTACATTAAAGAATAGAAAATCAGCGAAATCAAAATATATATCAATTTACATTTAGAGTCATATATATTTAATGATATACTGTAACAAATCTAATAAAGGAGGAATTTCAAAACAAAATTATAATCCTCAAATAATTTCATCTTGTTTGATATAATAATTAATTGACGTTATCTCTTGATAAACCAATAATTTAGTACTAGACTTACTTGCTACATTTCAGCTATGGTTTCAGCATTGAAACACTAACAACAACTACTGCTACTACTACAACAACTACAACAGCAACTAAAACTACTACTAAAACTACAACTACTATTACTACTACTACCACTACTACTACTACTACTAGGCCTACTACTGAAACCATAGCTGAAACATAGCAAATTACTAAATTATTCGCTTTTCAAGAAGTACCGGTAACTATGCATATATTCGCATTACAAGAATATATGCAGGTGTATCTATATTTAAAATAAACCTATTGTATTCTTAAAAGTTAATGATATCAATTTTTACTTTTACACAGATTTTAAAAGATCAGGAATAATTTTAATTTATTGGTTTTTTACTGTTAATTGTAAGTGAAATGTACGCACTCAACATATCTGTCTTAGAGATAGTGTGGTCTCCTTGCGTTCAATTAATAAATTGACAGTAATTATTTATCAACTTACCACTTGAAGACGAAGAGAAATCTGAAAATAAATTTTAAATATTAATGAGTTAACGAAATAGGAGCAATGATTTGCAAAACTAAAGAAATATGTGGAATTAAAACTCATTATATAAGAAAATAATGTTTCCACCAAAGGTTTAAATATATCAATTTCTATAATAACACAAATTACTTTTCTTTGTTTTCTTTATAATTATTTTATTTGTTATTGTATCTAGAGACTAATTAAAAATAATTTGTCTCATTTGCCCCCTCTGGCGCCACCCCTGCTATCAACAGACCAGCATTTTTACATAATAGCAGATTAAGTATTATATATTAACATTTATAACATGTATTTAGAATAACATACGCATGTGTAAATATAATAATATTATAATATCGATGGTTCTAAGAAACAGTGATGTAAAATAATGCATTTAATTTGATACCTTTTACCGACGTATTTATTTCAATAAAGGTATATTTGTAGGAGTATTCTCTGCTTCATTTACAATCTATGTCCCTAAAGTATTTCAATATTAATATTGTATATTTCAACTTTTGATAATTTTAACCCTGTAATTATATTTGTGTAATCCTTTACACATTGTAAACATTTTGGTCACGGTGCGATGTAGGGTGTGAATATGAGGACCATTTAAAAAATAGGTTTATCTTATATTGGAGACAGAAATAATAAATTAGTGCAATTACAGTAAATGTGTAAAGCGTTTTATATGTACTACCTTCACTTTTTTCGGAACTTATTGGGAATATTTTTAATGAATCTTTACATTTAAACTTGTGACGCTAAAAACCAAAACCCCATATTTCTATTTGCATAATATTTCCATTTCAACACCAATGCATGGCATGCATTTTTATTTTCAGGTATAAGAAGGGTCATTATGGTGAAAATTATCAAATACAGTATTGCTACTGACTAACGATTGGACCAATTGCATTAGACAGACTCCTGCCAAACATTTATTTTATTTTATTTTATTTTATTTCATTTCACACTCAACAGCGGGGAGCCCGCCACTTACAGAATGGAATAACATAAAACAAAGAGAACAATAAAGAACAATCCAGTTACAATACACACAAAAAAACAGTCAAAAATCTAAATATATAACTTAATTTTACGTTTAAACGTTCTAAATGAATCATAATAAATATCAATAGAATTATCTTTATCAACAAGAGAATTATAAAATTTAGGTAATCGAACAATAAAACTAAATTTAGTAGCATTAACACAAGAAAATTTAACATTAAATAAGGAACTGATAGAATTACGACATCGATAAGTTTTAACAGATAAACCAAAAACGGAAATAAGATCAGAACCATAAACTCCTTTAACGCAATTATAAAAAAAAAAAGAGAGAATCAAGGTAATTTAGTCTAGAACTTAAAGTAGGAAGAATGATATAATTGGAAGGGATATTACAAGTACGAGAAACAAATTTAACAAATCGTTTTTGAATAATATTAATTTGGGGTGTTCACAGCTTGAGGTCAAATGTCACTGTGGTCATCTTAAGGTCAAATCCTGAACAATGACTGGGTTCATGTTCTATTGAACATAGTATCTCTACTTCAACTTTTGATACTTTTTAACTATCAATTATTATTATTATTATTATTATTATTATTATTATTATTATTATTATTAATTTGATTAGTTTATTATTTTAAATGTTTAAACCTTGTTATTATATTTGTGTGTTTCTAAGTAAAGAAAGTAAATTTAAACAATTAACAGTATAAATTACAATTTAAATATTCGCATTAATAAATCAATGAAGAAATTATATTTACCTAGTGGAGGGTTGCATGCACAGATTGTGATCAAAATCCTTTACACATTTTTAACACAACAGTTTTACATTTGTTGCCCGTGAAGAAGCGCATTGATTTGACTACACTTTAAAGTCCACCCTGCAGGTTAAAGTCGTGTGGGGAGCGTTCATTCATGGTTGCTGCTCCTAAATTATCCGTCTCTTTGTTTAAATATTATTTAAAAACTCATTTATTTCGTTCTCTTTGGTTTCCCCTTTTCCATCCCTTGCCAGCTAGCTTTTTTGTAGTTCTTTGTAGTTCTATCAGGATAGGAGGTGCCTGAGTCCTGGGATGGCCGAGAATCAACTGGTGCTGGACAGGGTTCATTTTGGTAGATCCCTGCTCAGCGACGACGGCGTATCCCCATACTGCGGTTTGGGTGCTGGCTTGGATTTTCTTTTTTTTTATTTTCCATTTACATCTGCTCACTTGTTCTGCGCATTGAGACTCGTATTTTGCGCAATATAAATGAATAACCTTTAACCATTTATTAGCCCTATTATGATGCCTAAAGTATAATAATTGATAGCAAAAAAGGTATGTAATACCTGACCACGACACGTCTTTCTTCTTTTCTGGTTCTGAAATAAATATTTCGGACATGTGACAATTAACAATTAAGCTGTAAGTTAGCTTTATTATTCATTTATTCTTTTGTTTTTATATGTAACTATTTATTTCTGTCATTACTGGTTACTCAAGTTTTACTGTTTGTTTAGTTTGCTTTTAGAAAAAATGTAAACTTACAGCATAAACTTGATGGCTCAAACTTATTGTTACAAAATATTATTAAAATCCACAAAGTGAGATTTTAAACCCCTACCTCAAAGTTGGGAGCGAGCCTGAATGATTTTTATTTAACTTGTTTAGGTTTATTGTAAATTTGTGAGGTTTGCACAGTAATTTATTTTTACAATTACAATGTTCAAACAAACAAACAAAAAGATGTTGATTTAAATTAATTATATATGCAAAAACAAACAATGAAAATTATACATATATCAATTCCTGTACTTACACAAAATATACACAAATAAATTTCGCATTGTTATTGAAATATTTAAGCAGTGTCCTCTTGTTTATCACTATGCATATATTAGTCCCATTACAAAAATGAATACAAATTTATCTAAAAATGAACATTTTTCATTTAGTTCTCAAAGTTATATCGATTTTTATTTTTAAACAGCCACTGTTAGTTATATTGTTAAGGAAAAAATGTAAACTGTTAGTTATATTTTTAAGGAAATGTAAACTTACAGTTTGAATTCGACCACAAGGAATTTAGAAGAAAAACAGGTATATTAATGGTTATTTACCGTAAAAAATTACGAAAAAATGTTTAAATGAATTTACAAAATTATATCTGCTCATAAACATTTGTTTAAAAAATTATATAAGTAACGATATAATATAAATAATTTATAAGCAGAAAAAAAGATTATTTTCCAAACAATGGGAGTTAAATATCTACTTATATCTAATTTTTTTTATAAAGTTTTGTATTAATTTTATATATTTTTATATGCAAAGAAATTCATCTTGTTTGTTTACTTTATTGTTAGGTTCATTATTAATTATTATTATTATTATTGTTATTATTATTTCTATTATAATATTATGGTTATTATTATTATTATTATATTATTATTATTATTATACTATTATTATTATACTATTATTATTTGAGATGAAAAGGTCAAAAGACTAGGGCATTGTATGCACTCTACTACAGTAGTAACTGTCTAGTAACATTTTATTGTGTGTGCCACTTTCGGTCTCTCACCCTCTCTCCCTCTATTCTGTAAAAGTGGTGAGAATGATAATGTGACTGGACAAATATCTACAGTACTTACCATCGTCTCCATAATACACATCTGTAATTATAAATGAATGATCATTAAAATGTGTTAATAAACTTAGATATTTCTAACGGCACAATTCATTGTTGTCATCATTTATCACCTACCGTACCAACATCACATCACAATTTACCCACCATGTGACTCACTCATTCATAATTGAGCTAAAATATTAAATTTTGAACAATTTCGTTTAACTAAAACCAGTATCAAAATGTTGAAACTTTATGATACGCCTACTAATTAAACTATAATTTATAATATAATATATCATAGAAAGGATTTGCATATTTTGGAACAAAATGTAATTTATTTTTAAATAATATATGTCTACATCTATATAGAATATGTTTTTAATTAACATAGAGGCCTACATTATTTAAACGACACGTTAAGTAATTACGGTATTTTGTAAAATTATTCTTTATATTTTAATATTTCTCACTATTTTTTTTTCAATTAACATTATTCAATAAAGGATAATACGAATAAGAATAATATTAACATATTGAAGATATTCTGTCTGTGCTGACCAAATAAACTAAAAAATAATTAATATTAAATTTGTATACTCTAAGTATGTTATCATATTTTAATTGATAGTGTATAAGCCAATTAACAAAGAAACATAGATTGTCTTAACAAAATAATAATAATAATAATAATAATAATAATAATAAATTTGTATATCTAAGTATGTTATCAGATTAAATTATTATTATTATTATTATTATTATTGTTGTTGTTGTTGCTGTTGTTGTTGTTGGTCTAACATTTAATTATACTGTAAACTGACTGCCTTACATGAAGTCTATATAGTAAAAAGTTTGTATATCAGCGAAAATTAAATTTAATTGTTTCGATCTGGATTTAAATCTTGTGATTTAAATTTTTTTTTTCTTCATTTCACCACATATAAATATATTTATTACGGTAATGTCTTAAGAGAACACCAAAAGTTGAGCTTACAATACAGGCAGCCGACCAAGAGACACGCAGGACGGGGAAACTGGTCTGAAATTGAATCAGGAAACAAGTATTATTTGTACTGAATCTTCGTATTTGAACACATTTGTCAAATAAGGAAAATGTATGTTAACTAAACGTCGAGTGAGTTGAATAGCTTGGTGGTTAAGATGCTTGCCTTCCAACTCCAGGGTCCTGGGTTCAATTCCTGTCAGTATTGCAGGATTTTTTTTTCTCACGACCAAAACAACTCTACTCCCTAAATCTCATATTGAGATTTAGTTTATATAAAACATCGTGTGTATGTTTGTCACCTACAAGTAGGACAGTGATTGACAATCCTTGGCACATGTATTGTGTGCCTAAATAAATATTTTTTTTTTTAAAGGCAAGAACGTATACTTACCACAAGTCTCTTCAGTTAAATATTGTAAATCTAAAAAGAAAAATGAAAGAAATGCATATATTTAGTCTTTCAACGACTGGTTTTCACTTAGAATGTCGTGGAACTATAATTATACATACAGACAAACCATACATATACATATATATATATATATAT